CAACTCACATTGTATTATCCAAATGATGAAAATGATTCTGACAGAGACGATGCCGGAAGTGATAAGGAAGACCAGTTCAATTACACTTTTCAAAGTATTGGCCGAGGTACACTGTCTCAAAGCATGGATATTACAGCAGTTTCTCGAAAAAATACAGCAATTGAGAAAACAGTGATGTCAAATACAACTGTGGCTAATACTCACGAATTAGGTAAGATAAGAAAAAGGGAGGCTGCAGAAATTTCACAAACTTCTGAAAACAGAAAAAAATCTATGAAAATAATCGATGGTAAGTGGGAAGGAAAAGAACTAGATAAAGGAGCCATAAATAGTGTTTTCAAAAACAATATAGAACCCCATATACTAAATGAATGAAGACAGCAAAATTGGAAGCCAATCGATGTGTTTAAATTATTCTTTGATAAACAATTTATGGACTATCTTTGCAAAGAAACGGTAAAGTATGCTTCACAAAAATCCTGCCCTTTCTCTTTGTCCGTTGATGATTTATGTAAATACCTCGGCATCCTTATTCTCTCTGGATACCATCCACTGCCTTCTAGAAGAATGTATTGGGAATGTCGAGGGGACTCTCACTCACATCTAGTAAGTAATACTATGAGTCGAAACAGATTTGAACAGATTCATAGATTTTTACACTTTAACTATAATACGTTGTACCAACAAACCAATAAAGCATTCAAAGTTCAACCCCTAATTGACCATCTAAATGAACGTTTTCATCATTACCTCCAGCCAGTGAACGGAAGTTTCTCAGTGGACGAAGCGATGGAGCTGTATTATTGGCATCATTCAATGTAGCAGTTTATCCGAGGAAAACCCATCCGTTACGAATATAAATTCTGGTGTGTTGCGACCAGTAAAGGTTACCTTGCAAAATTTCTTCCCTATACTGGAAGTGGAGATAAATTACAGGGCAACTCATTAGGAAGTTCCGTAACTGAAAAGCTGTGTATAAGGTTTTTACCACAAGAATCTGTTATATATATATTGATAATTTTTTTTACATATTTACCTTTACTGACACGGTTGAGAGATGAAAAGATACACTGTATCGGCACAATTAAAAAAGACAGAATTGAAAAAACCCCACTCAAAGAAGTAAAAAAAGAAATTCGTGGAACTTCCCACGCTCTATATTGCGAAGAACATCAGCTCACTCTTGTTCCCTGGAATGACAATAATGAAGTTACTATGGCAACTAATATTTCAACTCCAGAAATATTTACTATAGGAAACTGTATTAGATGGTCCAGAAAAGACAGAAAACTTATAGCGGTCCCTCAACCTAACGTTGTGCAAATGTATAACAAGGGAATGGGTGGTGTAGACTTATTCGATAAGCTAAGAGGTTTATATAGGATTCGAATTCGATCCAAAAAATGGTATTGGGCGATATTTAGATTTTGCTTAAATGGGGTAATAGTCAACATGTGGCTTCTTTACAGCAACATTGAGACAATTTCTTTATTAGAATTTTACAGGTGAAATGTGGATGCCATGCTGACAGCTCCAGATATTCCAACACCAGGTGGAGTACGTCCAAAATCTTCAAAACATGTTGCTGATGAAATTCATTTGGATAATGTGGGTCATTTGGTGGACAAAATTGAAAAACAACGAAGGTGCGGCAAATGTGGCAAGTGTACCAAATATCGATGCATTAAATGTAATGTAGGACTTCATCTCGAGAAATGTTTTGTCAAATATCACACGTAAATATTTTAAAATAAAACATAACTTATGAAATATTGTATCCTTCATTGTCCAGCGTATGATATATCCTACGTCAAAAAAAAAGACAGTTATAGAGAAAAAAACGTAAATTATACACATTTATATTAAAAACAACCTCTCTTTATTTCATTCTGAAGTTTTGATTCAATTTTGATAAAAATTTAATTTTGGGCATTAATGGGTTAAGTAAATATTAAAATGCAAACTAATCTTATTACAAAGTTCATTAGAACACAAATCCTGGATCATCATTCTTAGGTGAATGACTAGAACAGGGCCGGCTCCTATAACTCCTCCCTTGCGAGTTCTTGGCATATTTCATGGAGTGAAAAATAGCTCTTGGATTTGTTACACGAACTGTGAGATCATCTTCTTCCGTAGGTGGTTCATTGTACGTTGGATGTGGATTTTCTTTTGTTCTTAACTTCTTAATATAATGAATGGCTATGAAGATATACAATATGAGACAATAATTATTATTAATATATATTATGATAGTCCAATGGTTTGTGGAACGTTTCTTTAGATGCTAGAGTACCACAAGTTGAATTTGATTTTGATTCCTTTGGATTGTGTGAATTTTGTCGAGAGGGATATCCTTTAGAACAATTTCTGGGACTTCTTCTTCTTGAGCATTGGAAACTTTTAACTCAGGTAAGAGAAGTGGTTGGCCTTGGACAACTGTCTTCTTATTAATAAACGTTTTCTTATCCACTTTGAACTGGCTTTGGTAAGGAATGGAAACTAGAAAATTTCCTTTTAATGTGGTAAAATTGGTTTTCTGACATATCGTCTCGATTTAAGTTTGCGGCAAGTTGTGGAACTGGTCTTCAGCTGCAATAATTGAAAGACACAATCTTCTTTCTTTACTCCAGCAGAGAAATCGCCATCAGTACAATAGAAATTGGGCTTCAGGTCCAGAAAGGGCAGTGAGTGATATTGGTAATAATTTTCATTCATAGTCAGAAAGGTATTTCGAGGTACGATGGTACTGTGATTTGACGTAGGAATTGAATAAAGATGATAGTAGGAGAATATTTCTGGGTACACAATAGGAAAGTGAATAGCGAAAACAATTTTTGTCTCAGAGTAATAGGCTTCTGTTTTTAAAATATCATACTATTTATAAGTATCATTAAAATTTTGTACTAAGTACTTCATTTTTTGTATGGTATTTTAAAATGATCTCTATGATAGAATTTAATTCATTTTTATCAATAATGCTATTATGTAAGATTCCAAGTCGAGCAAAAGTAACGACATTTTGTATTTTATCTAAAAGTTGTAAAATAATGTTTAAGCTTAAATTTAACTGATCTAATATATTTCTAGTCTGCAAATAGTCATTATAATCAAATATAAATTTATTTAAAGATGTGCGTATCTTATCTATACCCATAAATATAGTTTCTTGATTGTTCTTTATAAGAGTTATTGTTTCATTAAAATTTTCTATTATATCCTTGGTCAGAGAAATTTGTTGATTTACTTTTTTAACTAGTATTTGATTATTATTTTGGAGATCAGAGATGGCTTGGTCATAAAACAAGGAGTCACTGGAGCAAGATTACCAGAGGTACTTTTAATTATAGATCCTAATCCGTCTATAAGACCTCTCTTTGATCTAAAAGTTGGCAATAAAGAATTAAATTTTTGTTCAGCGGATTTAAGTTGGAAGAGTAGAGCATGGTCAAAGTTATAAAGTTCTTGAAAATAAGGATGACTAAGGCCATCTTGAATTGCAAGTGTTACATTGTCATATGCATATCTTATACGTCCCACGACTCATTGATTATAGTTTCCAGGTAGTTGTATTGTGAGACACGTTCAATTCTAATTTGGTTCACATACAGATTTGCTCCAGTTATATTTTCCTTAATGATGATCATTAGCTTAGTTTTGCTGTTTATATCCAGTTCATACTTTCTACTTATTTCCGTTATTTTGTTTATTAAGTTTTGCAGCCCTTCTATGGTATTGGAAAACCTGCATGCTGCAGTTTATTTAACTTGACTTCATTTATTGAAATGCTTTCATCAAAATCTTTTAGAGCCTCTTCAAAAATGTGCTCCGAGTACAGATTGAATATCAGTGGTAAAATTATGCACCCCTGTCTCACTCCCCTAAGATTTTGACCTGATCTGTATATTCTCCATATATTCGGAGTACCGCTGATTGATTCCAAAACAAATCAGCTATTATTTTTTAGTCTTTTTCGTAAATCCTTGTCCTCTTCATCACTTTCATTATTTATTGATGTCTGACTCTATAGAAAGCCTTGTTGTAGTCAATCAGGCATGCAAAAACATTACAGCTGACATCTCTGCTGTTCTGAAACAATACCTGCACGCTAAATAAAGCTGCTCTCATACCAAAGGCGTTCATAAATTCAAACTGATTAAACGCAATTTGTTTCTCGCATTTTCGTTAAATTCTTTTGTGGATGACTATTAAAAACAGCTTCAGCAGATGGCTCATTAGGCTTATGGTCCTATAATCTTCACAAACTTTTGCTCTTGGTTGTATGGGCAATGGTACGACCTCCGATTTGAGCTACTCTACTGGTATTTTTCCTGTCTTGTATATATCATTAAATATTTCAGTTATTACTTTTATTTGTTCTGCATCTAATAGCTTCAACAGTTCTGTAGGAATTTTATCAAGTCCTGGTGCCTTTCGATGCTTCATTTATCTGATGGCTGCCGTTATTTCTTCTGGTAGGATTTCCAGACCTGAATTTTCTTCAATGGTGTGCTCTTGTATTGTTCTAAGGTCATGGAAAAGCTTCTCCGAGTATTCTTTCCATACTTACTTTTAATCTTCTTTGGTTATGGTAAGATTGCCCTTATCATCTGTTGTATTTCCGCTGTTGCGTTTTCGAAACTTTCCAGCTATTTCCTTTACCTTTCGATGAATCTTAATGTTATCATATAAACTCTGATACTCCTCTATATTGTGACATTGTGCTGTTTTTTGTTTCTCTTTGGCTTCTCTTATTTTTCTTCTGACGATGATATGTATTCTCTTATATTCTTGGAGACAGGAGTCATTATCTCTCCTGTTGCCGACAAGAATGTATCTTCAACTAATTTTTAAATACTTGTAAACTGTTTAGTGTAGTGTTTGTACAATTTTATATTTATTACACTCTGCGCTTGTTGAATAGCCCAAAACTGACGAAATGCTCCTGATGATGCTTTTGAAATCGAACGTACTTGGGCAAGATTTAATTAATAAAATTGTTCTCGATATATGCCTTTAATTTTATCAAAGTTCATTTATTCGAATATTCAACCTTATATAAATCAATATTATATATTTTTTGATCTCACTAATTTGACATAGGATTACAATTTATAAAAAAAGTAATAGTTAAACTGGATCAAGGTAACTGTTTATATTATTTATTAAACAGGATTTGTCTGCAATATACCTACATAATCTCATGCGTTATATAGTTTATATTTAGCTCATACAAACAATATATAACTAGGAAGCCAGACATAACTTATCTCTGAAAAATAATTTAATAATAATATTATAATAGCATATTAAATCGTAAAAAATTAAACTAACAAGTTTTAACAGTATACTGCATATATTACAGAGTTCTCTTATTAAGAAAAGACGGGCGCCTTCAGGGAATAATCACAAAGCTCTTCCAGACACTCCGTGATATCCCTCTTCTGGACAACAGAATTTGTCAACGCTTTCCTTACAGTATCGCTGTCGATGGTTTTCAACGTTGAAGCGCATTCTAGTACCTCGAATATCCTGATGATCTTTGAGATTGTGTCTTTACCATATTGTCCGTATTCGCTAACCTGGTAGTCCCAAGGAGCGATGTAGTGATAAGCCAGCCAGTTGCTTTTGTTAAGAATAAAGACTAGATTTGTGTCACATGGGAATCTAAAATAAAATACATATATTACAAAAAGTGTTGAAGAGTTGTATATTGTATATTACATAATATCTATAGGTCACATTTGTTGAGTATTTCCTATTTCCAAAATTTTTATTCAAAAAATATCTTAGGCAAATTAAATAGTATATTAATATAAAAACCCTATCGGGTTACATCACAGAACGTTTTCGGGATAACTATTCGATTATCAGTGCTTACTAGATTTACATGTTTGAAGCCAATAAATACAATTAAAATGTAGTTAAATTTATTTGTTAACTGCAAAAGTATTTAGGGAAGAGAATGCTCTCATCGTTCGTTTTGCCAATGAAATATTATCTTCTTCAGAACTGTTTGCTTCCTGTTGGGATTCATGGTTAGAGTTTGATGAACTGTCAAACATCATTAAAGCTGAAAAATTAGTTTCTTTAAAACCATTTTCATCTATAGGCCAAATGCCACTAGCACGTAAAGCGTTTTGTGTATTTCTTACTGTTGAAGGATGTCCATAAGCCTCTCCAATTACCCGGAAACCTGAAACATTGATACAGTTTGACCCACGATATTCTGCAACAATTTTTGAATGCATGTTAAAAGGCTCTGAAGAATTCAACATCCAATGGTTAAAATCTGTGTGTGGTGTAATTTAGTAACTGCAATAACCTAATTTCATTATCCCTGGCAATTTGTAACACAGGGGCCTTAGGGCTTGGCTTAACGGTTTAAATTTAATGATTAAGCTATATAACATAAAAAGATTGCTACTGTATAGCCAGTATCGCAAATAGTGACAATGCTGCAAGGCAGAGCACTTATGAAAGTTCCTCTTAAAAATTGTTAGTGAATAGTTTCCTACTAAAAACTATCACGGGTGGTACAAACTGCCCTGCTGCACTAGCGCAACAAATCACATTAGTATTTACCCCCTTCTATCCACTAGTTAATAGTTTTTAACCGTTGTATACAGCTGCACATATGTTGAAACCATGGACGTATAAACACAGATGGACTCAGTTATTTACATAAAATTGTGTAGTTAAAATTATTTTAATAGGTCACATTCTCAGCACCTTCAACTGTTGTCACGTTTTGTTTTAAAATTTCTTATTCGCGAGTCGCTGAAAATATTACTCTGTGTTTTATACTCTACAGGTGCTATCAAACCAAAATAATAATTTATTGGTTAGATTATTATATTTAATTGTAATCAAAATATCAAGTATGCATATAGTGTGCATTATCATTTAATAATAGCGTATAATAGATATCAATCAATTATTTTATATGTAGAAGCACTGAAAACTATTTATAAATGGCAACGGCTGTTTACATTTCTCTGTCTTATGGATCTACATCAAACTTCAAATGCTGTTCCGTTTGTTTACTTTTTACAGTAGATGAGGAAAAAGTTGTTTTTCGATATTTTGGCTGTATTTTGAGTGATATTTGTGAAAAGTGAAATAAAATAAACGAAATATTTACATCCCGATCTCTTATTTCATTTGTAAGTACATACAATTTACATTATTTAAGATGAGGAAATGAGGAAGGGTGTTTGTTTACATTTTAATAGGCGTACCATTGGGTTTATTCGTGTTCATTAATGATGATTAATGATGATTAATGTTAATTAATGACATTTATAAATTGTAAGTAGACATCATCTGATTAAAAAAGATCTGTTTAGTACCTTTTTAATTTAATATTTTTCATGGATACAAATAAATTAGTGAAATGAATAAAACTCATTTATTTTTCTATGTAAGTTTCCAAATAAAATTGACGATCGAACTATTTGGGTAGCAAATTAAGGAGAAAACATTTTCATATGATTTTTTGATTTTTTTTTGACAAAGATTTTTTATTATAGCATTATTTTGATGCCTATTAAAAAATTAATTTGAATCCAACTAATTGTATTAATTTTAAAGCAAATAAAATTGTATTTTAATTTTTCTATAAAGACGTGATTTGTTAATAGTTAAACTCTCGTTTTTTTTTTTAATTCTTTGAACGTGTTTTTATACATTATTACTACTTTCAGTTTTTAAAATCTGAATAATTACCTGCGAGTAAAAATTCAAGCATGCTTATGCTCATTGCAGAAGCATCACATTCTATCGAAGCTTCAAAACATTGTGTGTTAAAAGTATCTTATTGCTGCGTCCATCTATGTTTATACGTCCATGGTTGAAACTCATAACAGGTTTCAAAATGTAGTTCTAGTTGGTATTAAAATATAGCACCATTTGTTCTCGGTTCGTTCAAAGCTGCAGAAGTCCAATTTAGGAGCCGGTTCAATATAGGCAACATTACCCTAATGCTCTATTTTTGTTCCTATACAAATGGAAATTTTAACATTTGAAGGAAATATTACTTCTTGATATATTACATTAGATTTGGTAAGGTTTCAGTTTAAACAATACATATACCCCATAGTCTATCTATACAGCCCTTGCTGTCCAATTTTGGACATAGGCCTCCTCTTCCTTCTTCCACGTCTCTCTATTGTAGGCAGTTTGCATCCACTTCGGGCCTGCGTGTTTCTTCTGACCATCTGACCATCTCATTTGTGGCCTTCCTCTTTTTCATGTGTAACTATATGGTCTCCAGTGTATAATCATCTTATTCCATCTGTCGTCTTTCTGTCTTATGGTATATCCAGCGATCTTACACTTAAGTTTTGCTATCTGTGTTGATACATTGGTCACTTTTGTTTTATTGCGGACCCAAGTATTTCTTTTCTTGTCTGATAGCCTGATGATACCCCATAAAACAGTGTTTAAATTGTTTTAAATTTGGCCATACGCTCAGGCAGTGTAAGTCCACTTTCAACTTATGCAAAAATAGTGACGAAGACCACGAAGAAAACTCCTGCTGTAGTAACTTACAATATTATTATACAACTCTAACGAAACAATGCCCAGCTTATCAATATCAATATAATATAAAAAATAATGGCCATTAAGAATAACACATGTAAAAAAGCTGGGTATATAGCAACAAATCCATATTCTGCTAAAATCATGACACGTAATAAATTTGAATTGCTTAAATAATTTCCCCCAACTCCAGCCTGTCGCAAATGGTAGTAATAAATAATTAATACGTTCCTCAACCTAAATAAAATTTTAATCCTCTTAAATGAAAAGCCCACTCAATGTAAAACTGCCATACAATTTCCTTCAACGTATCAAACAAAAAAATCAGTGTCACATGATAAAGAAATAATACAATTATTAAAAATTCTACAAGAAATTACATTTGCTTTAGAAAGAATAATTAAACAAATTGACCCCAAACTAGTCTCGGTTGAATTACAAAAAGTCACTCAAAATGAAATCAAAAACGTACTTTCTTGTTTGGCAGACACCAATAGTGATGGGGAATCATAGAACAAATAATAGTCTTCAGCGTAACTGTCAATCTATTATAAAACAAAGGACTTATTTGCTTAATTTTCTAGAAAGTTATAGAATTAATGTCATTTTTCTTAACAAAACTTGGTTGTCACAAAATAAAAATTTATATATGAAAGGTTTTAATAATGTTAATCGACGTGATGAAAAGAGTCTTCAGAAGACTGCTCTATATTTGAAAATTACTTGAAAAAATGTTTTCCGATGATCATTCTAAAGATGGTACATCTTTGGAAATGTTTAATAGCGTAATAAAAAGCGAATTAACGAAGCTGCAGATACTGCTATCCAACTTTGTGAATACTATCAATAAAAATATAACGCTCAGTAAAATATGGAGATTTGGTAATAAAATGACTAACAAAAATTATCATTCAAAAACACAACAAATTTCAACACAGCTAATAGAAGAGTTACTTGACAAGTTCGCTTCACCACATGTTAAAAACCAATTACCACCTGTAACAATATACAATTCTGGTAAATTCAAGTTACTAGAAAATCAGATAAACATCTAAAAACTGGATGCAGCTAGTAACATATTAAAATCTACTGAACTCGTGAAAGATTATATGACTTATTCGACAATTAACTACCTCCCTGATAAGGCTAAAAATCGTTTAATAAAATATTTTCCGTCGACCGTCCATTTATGATCAATTAAGAATGGACGAACTATTGAAATTAGAAACAAATAACGTTCAAGACTTGGGGTCAAAGTTTCTTGTCACAATAAAAGTGTTAAAAACGCACAAATATAGAATATTTACCATAGTAGATAACGAAGTAAATACCATTATCAATGCGATCAAAAGCTATATTTCTTTAAGACCAGCACACACACCACATAAACAATTTTTAATTTTTTATAAAAATAACAAATATTCCACACAGCCAGTTGGCACAAATACCTTTTTCAAAATTCCTTCTGTTATTGCTAACTTCTTAAAATTAGAGCACCTGCATCTCTACACTGGGCATTGTTTTAGACGTTCCCCTGCTTCAATACTGTGTGACAGTGGTGCAGACTAAGACTAGGTGGCTGGAAATCGACTGCGGTAGCAGAAGGTTATATAGATAATTCTATGCAGAATAAACTTAAGACGGCTGAAAAACTCTTAGGACAAAATACCACCAAACCTTGTCAAAGTACTTCCTTCAGCACCACCGCTTCTTCTTCTATCACAGAGTTTACAAAGGTGCAAAAAGACTTAAATATAAATTTATCAAAATCACAGTCAAAATTCTATATAGCAAATAACCATTTATCAATACCTTCCTTTAATTTCAGTAATTGTACTATTTCGAATATTAATGTTTATAATAATAAAACCACCACTAAGGAAAACTAAACTTTGAATAAAGTTAATGAAAGCTGAAAAAATTGTTGTTTATCGTAAGTAAATAAAAATTTAAACTAAGATATCTTTATTTCTGAAAAGTACTGTCGACGGAAAAGTTTTGTAACGAACTCGTGAATTAAAATGGCGATTAACAATCTCGAACATTAACGCGGTCGCATGCTAACTTTATTCTGGTAATTTCGGCAGTTTGATTTTCTTTGTTAACTTTTATTATTTGTCCCA